TTTTTTTTTGGTCTTGTGATGAGTTGTCTCATTGTAAGGGACACAATTACAGGATATATTTATATATTCAATTGTGAAGATATTTACAATAATTATTACTAGTGTATAGCAAGCAATAAGTAAGATTCCTAGATGTGCATTTTTTGAAAATGTTTGGATACTTCTTCTATTATTTAGCTCTATGTAACTTTTATTATATTTTATTTCCTTAATTCTTACTACTTCCTCTGTCCAAATTTTCCTCTTTGCAATGTTTTGTTTTTCCACATGTTCTTTTAAGGAGGTCAAGCACTAGTTTTGAGACATATTTGGAATTTCATTTTTTTTCCTTTATCATTTAATTTCCGTATGAAGATACGACTAAAACGAGAGATACATACATGCCCATATATCTCACTACGTCTAGAGAGAAACATGCTTGCCGATTTTATTGCAAATCTAGTTCGAATGTAGGTATATCATCAAGTTTGAATTCATCTCTCATACTTCGCAGATAAAATGTAAATCAATTTTACTTGGCAAATCTAGTTTCGGTTTTTTCGTTCTAAATTGAGTTTCATAACATGCGTCTGATGTGCTGTCTGGAAGTTTTGGGGTTAAATAGGGATTCTTCATGATTAGGTTTAACTACACCTTGATCCCTCAGCCAATCCTCTACATCATTTACATTCCTAAAATCGTTTAATAAAAGTTAAAATAATCGTAATGCCAAAACCGACCTTAGCTCAGTTGGTAGAGCGGAGGACTGTAGTAGGCTTATAGCAATCCTTAGGTCGCTGGTTCGAATCCGGCAGGTCGGATATTTTTTTCGTATCATTATATTTTATTTTTTCCTGAAAAATGGATTTAATAATTGATGGATATATTGTAAAATACTAACAATCTCACCATCCGACTTTAGCTCAGTTGGTAGAGCGGAGGACTGTAGTTGTTTCAATAGTAATCCTTAGGTCGCTGGTTCGAATCCGGCAAGTCGGATTTATTTTTTGTTTTTAATCATTAATTTGCAAAGCCATTTTTAATGCTTTATCTTTTTATTCTTCTTTCTTTCTTTCAAACGATGTAATGGGCCGAAAGCGGGTCACAAGTTTGCCCATAAAACCAGGCCTCATGGACCTTTTGGGAACTCACTTTGAATAATACATTTTACCCTAATAATACAAAATGTAAAACGAGTTTAGAGGAAGAAGAATCAAAAGTAGCTTACATTAACAAGAGTGTTTAGAGCAACCAAACCAATGATCGGAAGCATCGAATGTAATTCAGAGTTAATGCCTCCCATCTTACATCGAAGACTATAAGGCAGTTGTCGGAAAAAGTCACGTCGAACCGGACTTTCTTGAGTTTAGATCGAATCCAATATTGAGCTACACTTAACATATAAGTGAAATTGGGCCCAATAAAAAATAATTCATTATGAGCCCAATATACTCACCAACCCCTATTGTATTGAATCATCAAACCATTAAAAAATTAGTTGAATATAATTGATTTTTAGCCTCATCTATGAGGAATAATAGCATTTTAGTCTACCTTATAAGTACGATTTTTGTTGGTATAAGTTATAACGATGAATTGGGTGCCAACATTTTTTAGGTTTAAAAAAAAAAAAAAAAGTATTTATGTAAAGAAAAAAAAATAAAAAATAAAAAATCAGAAATTTACTAGTATTGATTAAGAAGTAAAAGAAGAAGAGGGGAAAGATCCGAGGAAACTGAAAAAGACCCAAGGCTCATTGCTATAATGAGCTGGGGCTCCTCCCTCTTCACCCCTTCCCTCCATCCTTGATTCCGATCTACCGATTCTTCTTCGATTCACCACACATATTACTAATTATTATTATGGCCGCTCGATTTTTGTTTTTTCTCCTCCTTGGGGTGCTAACGCGCGCCGACCCCGTTAGGGTTCCGTTGCCTCCGGGATTGTGTCGGTTAAACTCCGTCAAAGACTTCCTCTTTGCTCCTACCGACGATGTTTGCTCCTGCGATGCTGAGTTTTCGTACACCACTGGTGTAATTGAGGTGTGCTATTTCTAGCCCTTTTCTGATTTTTCTTATTAACTGCTGCAAATAATAGCTTTTTTTTTATATATATTTGATTTAATAATTTCCTGAGTAATTATGATTGTGAGTTAACTTGATCTTGTAGTGTATCCGGTCGGAAACAGATCGTACCGGGTTGGGTGGGGT